GTGACATTCTTTGGAAACTGAACCTAATTTAGTGTAACTGAATTGTAGCTTACTGGTGATAATGGAATGGGGGAGATAAATCTGGAAAGGAATGTCATGGCCCACTTGTAAAAAGTCTTAAATGACGCCCTAGGGGCTTGGGCAGTTAGCATGAAGATTCAACAGAAAACCACTGGAGAATTTTAAGAGGAGTAACTTGATAAAAAAATTTTTTTTCCCAGAAAGATTACCCTGGCATCAGTGTGGATGATTAGATTGGGAGCACACAGGCAGGGAGTAGATTTGGGAAAATGATTTAATTTTCCTGGAATAAGAAAAACAGTGTTAGAATAGACTTGAACAGATACACCTGGTGACCAACTGAATACTGAGTGAAGACAAAACAATTTTGGATGGTTCTGATTCCCACATTTGCTTGTCTCCATTCTCCGCCTGTAATACCTAGACAAAGACTCCTAAAACTGCAAACTGTACTTTTCCACCTTTCCTTATTTTTATCACAAGACCTATATTTTACTGGAGCCACTATTACAGTACAGGAACAGATACTCCAAAGGACATTACTGAGCAATATCACCAGCTAAGTGTCTACGAGACTGTGGGCAGAGACAGCATGTGTACCTGGAGATGCTGTGATCCAGGCAGTCTTAAAGGCTCCACTGTAACCAGGTTCTGTGGTTAAACACGTGACGATGTGTGTCCATAGAGCGGGAATGAGTGGTGGTCAGAGTAATTTTTTTTTCAAAAAAGACTATGTTATTAAAAGCCAGCCCATCATTTTTTGTGTCTTTTTGTATCCTAGAACGAGACATTCCTTTTAATCAGGCTGTCTGGTGAAACCACAGCAGTGACTTGTCTTCAGGCTGTGGCGAGAAGGAATTTCCCTTAGACTGCAGGATGGCCTACGACAGCTTTATATACTTCATTAAAATAAAATGACAGAAGTTTTGGGGTATTAGAAAATTGTTTCCAAAATTCCTACCCAAGCTGAACAGAAAGCTGCAGCTGTAGCTGAATGTAGGCTGATCCGTCTCCCAAGGGCTTTGTCTGCAGGTGAGTTAAAGGCGGCAAATACCAAATCGAGCTTTCCTGTAGCCCTCAGAACCCCAATGGCTCTGTATCACTCACTGGACAGTCTCAGAGTATATAAGATCCTTTTGCTCTAATCATTCTCAAAACCCACCAAAAGTAGTCACAAATTCAGGTCGTATCCCACCAAAAACTTTTTAATGACATGCTGCATCCCATATAAAAGCTATAAAATCATTGGCTCCTCCCATTGTTTTTAAAAAGTTCATTGGTTTGTTGGAAAACCTAAGGTATTTTTCTTATAGAGTGGCCAACATTATGGATTTGGCTGGCTGACTTTCCCTGGTTTCTTCTAACTTGTTCCTTTATCCCCAGTATTGCCTCATGAATGATAGGTCTAGAGGTTTGATTAGCTTCAGTTTCAATTTTTTTTTCTTTCTTCCAGATTTCTTCATGGGGAGGAGGCGTGCACTACTTACCGCATCATATCAAGAAGCAAAGAACGACTGTTGGCACATTTATACTAATACTGAAATTATCCATGGATTCAGAGACATAAGCCTAATTCCTCCATCAACCTTTCAAGCCACGGCTTTGGCAGCCACAGAGGATCATTACCCAGGTGCATACTTTCATTAGGGGTATCTTCTAATGTTTTCATGGATGTAAGAGGTGAGATTCTTCTATGAATTACTTTCATACACTATTTAGTTTCCCAGTGGTAAAAATTTAAGGATAAATAAAAAAGGATAAATATTCTTTCTGTTAACTTACCAGTTTTCAAAGTAATGAAAGAGTGCTTCAGCAGCCTTCAAAAGTGACCGAGGAGGTGTGCATGTGTGTATAATTATTAATTCATTTTGTTTTCATTTTTATATATTTATGTATATTGTGGTCATTATTTGTTTTGATGTTCATATTGCCTTGTTTTAGATCATTGAAAGGCCCTTGTTGTTACCTTCCTGTTTTTATGATATGACTCATTAGTCTTCTTTTTACATTTTTGCAATTTTTTTTGAGACAGAGAGAGAGAGAGAGACAGAGTGTGAGCAGGGGAGGAGTAGAGAGAGAAGGGGACACAGAATCCAAAGCAGGCTCCAGTCTCTGAGCTGTCAGCACAGAGCCCCATGTGGGGTTCAGACTCACAAACTGTAAGATCATGACCTGAGCCGAAGTCAGACCTTAACCGACTGAGCCACCCTGATTCATTCATCTTTGATAGCTTCCTTGCTATCTGGAATAAGATGGCCCAGGTTCATCTTCCATATTTCCTGTCCTAGACCTGGAGTTGATGATTTCTCCTCAGAATCTTGGTAAGTGTACTTACTGCTACTGGATTATCATTGCTTCAAGGAAGGATTTTAAATGGAAGGATGGGAAATTCCTTTTTTTTTTTTTTGAAAGAGAAATTAAATTTTGAATTCATACTAATATTGATAATTCCAATTTAAAAGTTAAAGGCTTTTTTCTTAATTTCTTAATTTCATACTTCTTTTTCTCCTAATACTGAAAATCTTGACTTCCAAAGAAATATATTTTCTATATATGATAGGTTCGAAATAGGGATGCCTGAGTGGCTTAGTCGGCTAAGTGTCCAACTTCTGCTCAGGTCATGATCTCACAGTTCGTGGGTTCGAGCCCTACAGTGGGCTCTGTGCTGACAGCCCAGAGCCTGGAGCCTATTTTAGATTCTGTGTCTCCCTATTTCTCTCTACCCCTCCCCCATTCATGCTCTGTCTCTCTCTGTCTCAAAAATAAATAAACTATAAAAAAAAATAACATTATCAGTATTACTAATAAGACTACTAAATGCATTTTCAGGTTTATTCAGAATTTATTTGACCCTTAGATTATAGCCTTTAAAAGATAGAGTCAAAATACTGGCTTTGAAAGTCATTAGAAATAATTACATTTTCTTTGTGTAGTTATGCCACTATCTGATATTCGCTTGGGCTCAACTGTTTTGGTTTATTTCTAATTGCAGAAGGAATGCTTTCTATTCTTTTTAATTTTGGTTTTAAATTGTGTAGTTTGCGTGGTAAAAGATCAAAAGTATATAATAAGAGGGATTCACATAAATTTTATCTCCATACCTGTGCCACCCTGTTTCATCCTTCCAACTATAGGCCACTATTTTTAATATCCTTATGTCCTCTGTGATATGTATATTTTATCATGTTGTTCTATACCCTGTTTTTTTAAATGTATTCTGAGGATCAGATGATACCCATATATAGATATTTTGCTCACTTTTCATCCATAATTTCTTCAACCGATTGAAGTTTTTTGATGATGATTGATTGGTTTGTTTCCAATTTTCGGTTGTTCCAAATAATACATCAGTGAATGTCCTCAGGCTTATACCATTTTGTATTTTTCTCACAATACTTTTGGGATATACTTGTTTGTTTCGATTTGATTTGAGAGAGACAGAGAATCTTAAGCAGGCTCCACGCTCAGCACAGAGCCTGATGAGGGGTTTGATCCCATGATCCTGGGATCATGACCTGAGATGAAATCAAGAGTGGGACAATCAGCTGCGACCCCTGGGTCATCCCAGGCACCCCTGGAATAGAATTTTAAAAGAGGGATTGCTCAAGCAATGGGCAAATGCACTTACAATTTTGCTAGATTAGGGGCATACTTTTAAATGTATTAATCTTGGGGCTCCCGGATGGCTCAGTCGGCTAAACGTCTGACTTCAGCTCAGGTCATGATCTCACAGTCTGTGAGTTCAAGCTCTGCATCAGGCTCTGCACTGACAGCTCAGAGTCTGGAGCCTGCTTTGGATTCTGTGTCTCCCTCTCTCTCTGCTCCTCCCCTGCTCATACTCTATGTTTCTCAATAATAAATAAACATTTTAAAAAACTAAGAAACAAAAAAAATATTAATCTTGCCATGAAAATGTGGGAATTAACAAAAACTTTATTATAGAAAAAAATTGTTTAACTGAAATGATCATATTTATCAAGAATAATTCATTAGTGGAATTTAAATTATTAAATTCATGTATGGTCTGGTTTAATATAAATAAACACCTTGAACAGTTAAAGATTTTAACAATTTTAGTGGTCTCCATTTTATTATATCTTAGGAAATAAAGTAACAATAGAATATTAAAAGCCATTTATTCTATATGTATAAACATATATATGCTTGTGGATGGGGCTGGGTGGATGGAAACATAGATAAAGAGAGAGAGAATTTTATCCTCAGAAGAAAACCTTTGTTTTTAATAAATTTACAAACTTTTTATTCAGTCAAAAAAGTTATTTTATATCCTTTTTTTAAAAATTTTATTTATTGAGAGACAGAGAGAGACAGCGCATGAGCAGGGGAGGGGCAGACAGAATCCGAAGCGGGCTCCAGGCTCCAAGCTCTCAGCACAGAGCCTGATGCGGGGCTTGAACTCATAAACAGTGAGATCATGACCTGAGCCAAAGTCCAACGCTCAACCGACTGAGCCACCAAGGTGCCCCATTTTATCATCTTTTAAATGACACAATCGAAATAGAAGTGAGTCATGTCTACATAACAGCACTTGGAATATTTTCTCAAGTGTTGATAAATCTGCAAATTAGTTTCCTTGGGCCTAAAATATAATTAAACTTTTTTTTTTTTAAATATTTTCATTTATTTCTAGGAGAGAGAGAGAGAGAGAGACAGCGTGAGCAGGGGAGGGTCAGAGAGAGGGAGATACAGACTCTGAAATAGGCTCCAGGCTCTGAGCTGGCTGTCAGCACAGAGCCCGACGCGGGGCTCGAACCCACGAACCGCGAGATCATGACCTAAGCGAAAGTCGGACGCTCAACCGACTAAGCCACCCAGGTGCCCCTAAACTTTTAAATGTACGATGAAATGTATTTGCTGGTCCTTTTTATGACCGTATGTATTAAGACAACATGATTATATTGTCTCATGCTTTTCAGTCGCTGTCACCTTCTAATTTCGGGAAGAACAACTCCAAGAACTGGGTGAGTCACATTTGTTTTTATTACCTTATGCACAGTAAGAATTCAACCTCCTCTAGGTGAATAGTAGATTAAAAATAATAGATTCACAGTTAAATAGCAGCTAGTTATGTATGGGAATACACAAAAAAGTAACCTGTCGCAATAAAAACAGGTGAGTAAATCGTTAATAATTCATTTACCCACATTACCGTATTATTATTCAGGCACAACCATAAAGACAATAGCATTCACAGGACGAAATATACGAAAAAAGGTTAAGACTGCTTCCTCCAAATCTTCAGCCTGCCGGTAGGAAAGGAAAGCTTTGGCATCTTCCTTTTCCTTTCCTTCTTCAAAACTAAAGTCAACAAAATAAAAATAAATATCATATATCTCCAGGCGGTACGCTCACTTTAAATCAACAGTTCCAACATGCTTACGAACTCACCCCAACTATTTTTAATGATTATATAAAGTCAGTTTTACTCACTATCCACTCAGGTTAATGACTTTCTACCTTTCAAATGCAAGGATACAGCTAGCGTCTATTGTAGTGAGACAGCGTTAGCATTTGACAAAACTGATCAGTACTAAATGCTATTTATGTAGAAGTAGTCTAGAAATGTCAATATGCTATTAGGAAAATGGATACATAAAAATATAAATTTGCTTACGAATTATTTATAAAATTAGTTTAAAACTTAAGTAAGATAAAATTCACTACCTTTTACACAAACATGTTTGCAGTCCTTCATGTTAACGAAGTTATTCTCATTCCCTCCACAGCCAGTATAGGTGAAGGGCTCACAAGCTTTGTGTCTTGGATTAAAATAATAGCGAGTTATGTTAGCCGAGCATAGTCCTTCATCTTTTGGACTATAGCAAAATGACGGACCTTTATAAAAAAGAAAATAAAATTAGAAATGCAGCAATACCAGAACTAATAAACTGTGATTACTGAAGTAACTGAAGAAAACCTAATCCCATAGAAGCTTCATTCTGAATCCAAAATATCATACTAAACCATTTAAAAAGTGTGTCTCAATTTTCAAGAAAGCTTACATGCTATACTTAGTTAAATATAAAATTTTCATAAACTGGGGAGAATTTCTTCTGAAGCTATGTCCTTGTATCATTTGAATGAGTAAAGAAATTAAACCCAAAGAACAGATATGGTCAGGTAGAAACAGACTGTGTTCCAAGGGCTGATATAGGTCATGCTTTAGTAAAGTTTCTTGCGTTGGTAGGTTTACTTTAAATGTTTTTATCAGCTCTCCTTCCGCTATTAATCAAGAATACACGTATCTAATTCCCAAGTAGCCACCGGAACCTTTACATTTACACAAAAAATTTAAAAAAACACCAGTAACCACCGTGTGTTCATTAACTCAAGATTTTACATTTTGAACACAGTGAATAGCTATAAAGCTTCCCCAAATCTCTGCCAAAGCAAGTTTTCCTTGTTTGTTAAGGTTATATATTTTTTTTCTACGTGTCTGCTATGTCTAGGGAAAATGCCTGTATTGTCTCTCTCCACTTAAATGCTACCCTAGTAACCCATAATTTTTAGGGAATCTGAGGGTGAGGATGTACGCAAGAAACGGGGAGGAGAACAAAGAAGGATAGAAATCTCTTTTTCCTGAAATTTGCAATTACTAAAGAATACAGAAATCTAGCCAAAAACTTTAGATAGAAATTCTCAAGTTTCACCACCTTAAGTCTCTATACATACCACTATCTCCTATAACAAGTGATTCCAAGCCTGAGGTCATGACACTTAGAATACTGTAATTTTTGTGTAAATTAAGTAGATAAGAAATTGTTCAGAAGAAACAATCCAGAAGAGGAGGCAAAAACTGAAATCATGCATGGCTTTGTGACTTTCTAGCCCTGAGAACTTGACAAGTCATTAACTTCTGGTAGCCTGTTTTCTCATATGTAAAAATGGGAATAATTATAGTCCATCAGAGGGCAATAGTGTGAAGATCAACATCATACCACATGTGGAATCACTAGAACACAAGCCATGTGAATTCCACATCAAATTGTTGATTTTTTTTTTTCCGCTCCTAAAGTCTTATTAAAGAAATAGAAACAACATAAAAGTAGTATTTACTTTTCTTTTTGTTTGGTGCACAGAAGCCCATACAGGTAGCCTTATCCCGGAACCTGTTCTCATTGCTTCGACACCCGCTAGACAGGAATTTTTCACATGTCATGGAACTTAGATTGAAGAAATACTCATCTGTGGACTCTCCGCACTGCTCCTCATTGACTTCCAACCTGCAAATTTTGGGAACTTCTAGGAAAAGGAGGGCAAAAAAATGTTAGTCAAAAATGATCGTTCTTAGTATTACATCAAAACTTTACTCTGTTTTCAGAAACAACTGGGCAGAATACAGCATCACATTTAGTACTGGGATAGTAAATCCCTAAGAGACTTTTCATTAATCCAAATATTTTGGCTTTTTTTTTTTTTTTAAACAATGTCCAGACCAGAGCCAGTCAAATGTAGTGGGAATTCTCTCTGTTCTCACAGGGTGTTCTGAGTTTTCTACACAGGAAGTTAATTAAACTTATTCACAGGGATGGGTGTTTTCCCTCGGCTTAGTTCCTTGAATGGCAAAGTCCCGTGCTCTGTTACTAGTCTTAATAGATACAATAATATAATTAAAGTAAAACAGAAAACATTACCATGACTCTCCACTATATCCCTGTAGTAACCCAAAACATATTTGGGCATCCCGGGGCAAAAGGAAAATTTATAGTTAGCGAAATCCTACTTTAATAATGAAATCCACTGGAAGTATTTCAGATTGATGTATGATCAACACGAGGAAAACGGTGTCCTCAAGGAGGCATAACATTAAATTAGCACCAGTTAGGGGCGCCTGGGTGGCTTAGTCGGTTAAGCGTCCGACTTTCGCTTAGGTCACGATCTCGCGGTTCGTGGGTTCGAGCCCCGCGTCGGGCTCTGGGCTGACTGCCAGCTCGGAGCCTGGAGCCTGTTTCAGAGTCTGTGACTCCCTCTCTCCCTGACCCTCCCCTGCTCATGCTGTCTCTCTCTCTCTCCTAGAAATAAATAAAACATTAAAAAAAATTAAAAAATAAATAAATTAGCACCAGTCCTTTGGTGCAAGGAGCGCGCAAGAGTTCTGAGCTTGCACGCGACCACTTACTCTCTATCCTCCAGCAAGCTTCATTGCAGGCCTCCCAAGTTTCAAAATTGTTGTCGTTGCCCATGCAGCCCCCATACATGAACTTGCGGCAGCTCTGCGTGTACCTGTCATAGTAGTAATTGGAGATCAGGGCCCTGCAGGGCCCTTCGTCCGGGGGCAGGAGGCAGATCTCCGCATTGTTTCCTACAGGAGGAGCAAAAGGGTAGTCGGCGAGAGGGAAGGAGGGCAGCCGCGTCTCCCGGGAAGGCAGAGGCTTCCCCAGGGAGCTCGGTCCGAGCCGCCTCCGAGCACTGCGAGGTTTGCAGAGAGAGAAAGTGCGAACTTCGGCGTGAGTGCCTCTTCCCACGACTCCAGTGCGGCAGGGGCCTGGGAAGTAGGGGTGGAGAGGGCGGGTGCAGGGGCCCCCACGGCCACAGCGCCCTCGCTGCCTCCCCCTGCCTAAGCCCACGCAAAGAGGGGGGTCCCGAACCAGCCAATACCTGGCGCCTCCTGAACCCCATCGCCCAGCACGGTCCCCATCAGGAGCAACGGCAGAAGCAACAGCCCGAGAGGTCCGCTGGGGTCCATGGTGTTCCGTTCAAGGAGCCCTCGGGGCGAGGCGTTCCTCGAAAGTCCCGTTGGGAGAGTGCAGAGAGGCGAGACTCTAGGAGGCCTGGGTGCCGAGGTGGTGGGTGCTTGCTTTATGTGGAAGGGTGAGCCGCCTCCTACCCCGGGACGGGGCGGAGCGTGCCTATGAGGAGCCTGGAAGGGAGGCTGATTCATGCCCCACCCGGCTCAGTGACCCGCCGCCGCCAACAGGGCACAGGAAAGTGTGCGGGGGAGAGGAATTCCCCACCAGGTTGAAGCTGCCTCTCCCAAACTTTCTCTCCGGGCCTGGCGGGGGTGGCCAGATGGGGGCTTTGTGTCAGTGATGGGAAGTCGGCAAGCTAGAGGGAAATGACCTGGGGGTTGGATTGCACAAGGTTCCAACTTGCAGCATCCCCCTGAAGCCTGAACCCATGTTCTGAAAGCTCGAAATGTAAGTATTGCAAGGGCAGAGAGAAAGTGTGAAATTCTTTGGGCTGAGGGGAGCCTGGCTCTCCTTGCCATAGATTCCTTAATTGGATTAGAAATTTGGCCGTGTGTATTTATTCGCATTTATACGGATGTGTACATTTCAATCAAGCTCTAATCCCCATTTAATAAAAGACTCCTAATAGCTCTTAAATGTACAGCACTATTCCAAATCAAGAATTTGAACATTTACAGCACCCCAGAACATTCTCTCATGCCCTTTCCCAGTCCTTCCAGTCGCAGGCGGGGGCAACCACTTTTGACCTTCAGAGGTCCGTTTTGCCTGTTCTTGAATCGCATGCAAATGGAATCCTAAAGCATGTGCTTTATAAAGTTTTGTACTTCTTTTTCTCCACTATTGGTTTTATGATACACCACATTACTGATAGTTCATTCCTTTTAAATGCTGAGTCCAACATATGAATATATGACAGATGTCCCCTTCCTGGACATTTGTCTTGTTTCTACTTTGGGACTGTTATGAACAAAGCTGCGTTGTGTGCACACACAGCTTTTATTACGCTTGGGCAAAATATTTATAAATGTTAAAAACTGCCACTTTTCCAAAAACGATTACACCACGTTATACCCCACCCACCATGAGCCACGTGTAAGTATTGTAGCTATGTTTTTTAAGACGGAACATCAAACTCCAAAGAGAAGTGGGCTTAGGGGATCACAGATCAGCCCCTTCCTGCACATTTCCTAATTGTCAGTGCATCTTTATTAGAGTTCACCACGCCTTTGACATGCTAGCCCAAGTCTAACCTTTTATTTATACAAAACAAATTATCTACACTCAGTTTTCACATAAAACATTAAAGATATTTTTGGAGACCATTTTAATGGGTTCTCTTGATGAATGTGTCTTCCCCTCCTTTTTCCTCTTGTTGTATTTAATATTTTCAAGGGAATAATTATTCCGGGCTTTTCCTGAAGGTCTGGAAGGAGTTTACAGGACTCTTCCAAGTTTCTGAGAAACACTATGCTCACAGTTAGTTACCAGTCTGGGGCATTTTGAACACTATATCCCTTGTGCCAGTTTACAGTTATCCTGATATCATGGCATAGAATCATATTCTTAAGAAAACTAGCCTCATCTGGAAATATTCAGTGTTACGGATGCTGTCAGATTACCACACATCTATGATTAAGACTGACAGTCCAGGATATGAAGATAAATGTTTAACAACCAGGTCTCAGAAGGGAGAAAACCGGGGTGGGAGAGCAGTGTTTCTGGTTTGTATAGTTTACTCTACTCCCATTATGCTCCCATTATGGCCAATTTCAGGCTACCAGAGTTGGAAATAAATAGGTACAATCAGCACACCAGAGCCAGTGTGAAGTAGCTCTAGCATACCAGCTGGTTTGGGAAAGACATATTCATAGGAGAACCAGATTAGACCCTCCCAGTAACTCTCAAATGTTAACAGGAGAGGGAAATTTTGCCAAACATCCAGTATCACATTCAGGAGAAAATTCAAATTTATCTATTTTCATTCTTCTGAATATGATTACATATATCTCACACGTGGACTAAAATATATCAAAGGACTGATTCAAAGTTATCATTCAGCATTGACTATTGTCATGCCTGCTCTTTGTTCTCAGGTGCTAGTACTTTTTGATCATCTTTTGCTTCATCTAAAAGGAGGAATGTTTTGAATTAGGGCAGATTATTTTGGCAAATTGCACGATGCAATGGTATTCCTTGCTCCTTCAGACAAGTCACATAAACTCTCTGAGCCTCAGTTTCCTTATCTGTAAAATGGGTTTAATGACGATTCTTGTCCACACATGTGTTATGAGGATTAAAGGGCAAGTGCCTGGGCACTCAAAGAGATGTACTTCAGCTTCTCACACACAGGCCCAGAATCCAGCCAGATTACCCATGTCCTGATTCCCATTGAGAACCTTGGCACAAAACTTTAAGATGGAGTATCAACCATAATCAAGAAACAATGACATGAGCAGACAGACAGGAATACAATCAGAAAACTGGCCTTGAGGACTGAAACCTGTGACATCGTTCCCACCAGCTCTCCTCTTGGCTGAGCTCAGAGTCCACCCCTCTGCCTGGAAAAGTGTCACACAATCAGACATCTATCCATGATGGTTTCTTCTGGAGAAAAGGGCCTCAGGGCTCTTTCAGCCAGAGCAGTGGACTTAGTCCTACTAAGTACTCAGGCTATGTGACAGGCACACAGAGGGGAAGGGGAAAGGGCCAAAACCAGGCTTTTCACCCCTCTGTGGTTTGGAGTCTCTGGACACAGGTCAAAATTCGAGTTCAGAGGTATTTTAGAAATGTTTATTTTCTACCTTTATTCTGTGTGCTATTAGGGTACATCTTTTTTTTTTTTTTTAAGTTTATTTATTTTGAGAGAGAGAAAGAGAGAGCATGAGCAGTGGAGGGGCAGGGGGAGAGGGAGAGAAAGAATCCCAAGCAGGCTTCATGCTATCAGTAAGGGCCTACTCAGGGTAGGGCTCAATCTCACAAACCATGAGATCATGACCTGAGCCGCAATCAAGAGTCTGATGCTTAACTGACTGAGCCACCCAGGTCCCCCATAGGGTGCCTCTTTAACACCCCTGTGAACGCTGAGCAGAGACAGGAAGGAGAATTGAACAAGTGAGGACAGTTAGAAGTTTGAGATTGTCAGGCCAGGTTATCAGGGAGGAAATTACTCCTCTTAATTGCAAAACACTTGAGTATTTTTATATCCATGAAGAAGGTATCTTCCAATATAAGGGGAATATAAATTTCCTTGACTACTTTAAATTACTGAATTTATACTCAGGACCATGTGGAAGGGCCATGTGACTACTACAGTCAGCCTCTGTAGGGATGTCATAGTACTTCTATATCTTTAAACCAGTATCTAGGCCAAAGGTTGCCACATAGCAAAGGAAAAGAATTCCTTTATCCAAAGTCAACAGGAAGTGCAAGGCTGGAGGGATCTGGGAAGAACAGTCACCCAGATTGATTTGTCATTATTATACCAAGTAATAGTTTTAGTGGCTGTGGCTAAAAATAGAGGTCCAAAACAGTTTGGAGTTCTGTAAAATAAGGCATGGAGTTCTTATAATTTGAATGCTATTCCACTATCTTCACTTTGCAAAATTATAAATTGAGACCCGGAGAGAGAAAAGGGCGGGTCATGTTTACTTATGTTGGTTGTTGGCAGAGCAGAGACTAGAACCCAAGTTCTAGACACACAGCCCTGTATTCTTTCTCACATTCCCGTACCTGGGCTCTTTCTACTGAAGAAGGCCTTGGAGGAAAGCGCTGAGTACCAGAATTAAAGCCCACAGAAGCTGCAGTGACTCCAGGAGCGCCTGTGCGTGTGTCAGACCCTTGCTTCTGTTCTTTCTCACCACTGCCCCACGCCCGACCCCTTAAAAAAATGGATACGAAGTTGATTTGGAACACATTAGCTCCTGGAACTACCAAGCCTTAAGTATGATGTTCTCTCTTCTGAGAGTCACACATGTTTGGACAGTCGTCATGATGTATGACGTTACGGAAAGGATTGAGGCAGATGGTCCTCCTCTCTGTCAGACACCTTAGAGAGAGGCGGCATGGCTAGCTCATGAATGCATGGGGAGAATTGAGCCCAGTGATTTGGGGGATATATATTATATAACATAGTCACTTAAGGAATTACATTGATAACTCCTTAGTAAACACAATTTTTGCTGCCTATTAGCTTAAGCCCTGAAAAAATAAAATCCGAAATGAATCCAGCTGGCTCTCACAAGAAGTTTACACATTTGATAAGAAAGGCAGTTAATCTTTTCTGAGATTAGGGATCACGAGGATTTTGTTAAAGTTTAGGCAACTTCTTCACCAACAAGGCATTTTTCTAGCTAGTTGGGCCATTGAAGAAATATTTACTCTAGTGTGCCCTCTGTCAGACATAGAGTGCATCTGTGAGTCTTCTGTAATAAGATGGAGATTTCTCTATGCCTAATTTTATTATTCTTGTGCTCCTTAGGGAGAACGAGATAATAGAGTATTTAATGTGTCTTGTACCATGCTAATTTTTTCACTCAACTATTTTAAAAATAAGCAGAATGGATATGTAATATGTGCCAAGCCTGGGTTTGTCATTTGGGACACAAAGACAAACACATTAGGGATCTCATAGCATAATAGAGTAGACAGATGAACATTACATAACCAAATTGCAATATAGTGTTTTTGGTACAATATCAAAGTATGTACTAGGTTTTATGGGATCATAGAGGAGGAAATAAAATTTTAGCAAGAGCTCAATTCAAAATAATAGCCAGTCCATATAAATATATCTAACATTGTATCTTCTATGCCTGTTATTTATAGAGACTCATTCCTTCAACAGCTGTTTTTTTTTTTTTTTTTTTTTTTTGGTTGGTTTTTAAAGATGCTGTGGCTCTAGCAAAGCGTTGCCTTCTTCTGCAGGAGGGTAGAATCTCAGAACCCCCCTTTCTATTGTACCTAGATGTATGTTCCCTCAGCTATCATGTCTTACCTAGGAGGCAGACCATATTTTCTCTTGCTCACGTTGCTACATATTATGTAGGGCATCTAGAAGGTTGGAACAAATTTGGGACTATTTTATCCAAGATGTTGCTGGCACAGTACAGTCTCATCATCAATTCTAGCCTGGGCTACCAATCCATTAGACAGTGGCATGTCAGGAAGTGGGGAAGACAGGGAAAATTGTCCCTAACTCCTGAATATCATGTGGGAACCTCAATAACAATAATAATGAACATGATGTTTATTGAGAGTATGCATTGTATTTTGCATATATTAGCTCATTAAATCTCCCACAGTAACCACTGAGGGAAATGCTTTATTCTCCCCACTCTGCAAACGAGCACTGAAATTTCAGGTGAATATGTGTCTCGGCCAAAGCTATGCAGCTAGCTCAGGCAGTTTGAATCCCCATCCCCTGGTTTCACTCACTGTACACACTTCTT